GTCAAGAGTCAACTAGGGAATAGCATCAGTGCTAGGAGGGCAGAGAATTGGGAGAAAGGAGGAGGAGGAGAAAGAGGAGGAGGAGGAGGAGGTATGGGGTCCTTGGTGCTCTCTGAGTTTGATAGTTTTCTTGCAGACATTTCATGACTCCACTAGGGAATATCATCAGTGCTAGAAAGGAGGTGGGGTTGCAGAAAGGAGGAGGAGGAGGAGGAGGAGGAGATTGTCAAAAACAAGTCAAGCTGGAAGCCACAAAGGTGTGACGAAGACTCCACCATTCAGAGTTTCAATGGCATCATTTTAGCAGCCACCTTGACTTTTCTTTAGTTGCCCTGGGTCATCTTTACCTTCTGGGGCCAGACTGAAGGCTACCAATTGTCCCCTTGTCCAAGTGCCCAAGGACAGCTCAAGTCCGACTGACTTTCAGAACATCGTGGAGAACCTCAAGGGATGATCTCAATCAACCTTGAAGACACAGCTGTTATTTTTCATATCAGGAGTTTGAGGAGAGCCCCCTCCAAACGCAAGCCAGCAAACCAACAACACACAATTTGCTGCAAGGGGATTGCTGATAAACTAATCAATTCCCATTATCCTCACCTTCCTGAAGCTTTTCTCCGCTGCTGATAAGAGGAAAACTCTATGTTTTGCCTGATGGCAAAGAATGAACTAGCTCTATTTTTCAGGAGAAGTCATCTATCTTTCTTCATTCTTTGCTTCAAGGTGGTTTTTTCAGGTTGGTCTTCCTCTGTGAGGCGTCCTTGGGACGTGGGCTGGATTTCCAACTCCCATGATCCTCCCCCTTGGGGTTGGGTAGGGTAGATGGCCAATATTCTGGAAGACCAGCCCCCAAGGCAAGGTTCTTCAAACTTGGCAAGTTTGAAGACTTGTGGACTTCAACTCCCAGAATTCATGAGCTAACATGACTGGAGGAGAAATTCTGGGAGTTGAAGTCCACAAGTCTTAAAGCTGCCAAGTTTGAAGGCCCCCTGCCCCAGGGGAAGGTGGACACAAAAGTTCTGCAGAAGTTCTCTGGGGTGATGGCTTCTCTCCATCCCAAAACTGTCTCCTGCATCTGAGCTTCCTCTTTTTTCAACAGAGGACTCTACGTATATGGAGAACGATGACGACCGCGTTGAGTATGTGCTGACTCAACAAGGCCTGATCTACCAAGGATCGAAGGACTACATCATCCCCAACCCCTGGAACTTCGGACAGGTGAGCTGTTCTCTTGTTCTGCTATGGGTAAGACCGCCTCTCCTGGAGGGTATCTGTCTATCCCACCACGTGAGGTGAGGTGGGAGAACTTCAGGTCCCTTCCATTAAACATGGCCACCTGGTAGGACCACGTTTTCTGGAGTGGCAGATCTTTGGACAAAGATCTTGCCAGGAGACTGAAGCTTCTCCCATGCTGTTAACCTTCCAGAAGACCATAAAGACCTGGATTTTCACCCAGGAACCAGGCTAGGAGTGAAGAGAGCCCCCAAATGTCCATGCAAATTGGTCCCACCAGTTCTTGCTTGCTCGCAAAGGATATTTCTGTCAGATCTTCCAATACACCATTGTTGCTGCTTTGTCGTGCCGTTGTTTGCAATCAGTCTGGTTGATCTTCTGGCATGTTTATTCTGCTTCTTTGCAGAGACGGTATTTGCTGTCTATTGCTGTCTTCTCAACTTCTGGCTTTGTATACATTTGTTCTTAGGGCTTGCCAGAATCAGAATCCAGATTCAGCCAGAATCCACCCCACTGTCTCTTCCTTCAACTTTCCTGTTCTAAGCCACTGCCAGGTCCTATTATTATCTGTTTTCTCTGCTATTTTTTTTAAAAGTACTGGCCATGTAATGGTTGACTTTCCATGCCACCTTTCTGTTCTTCATTTATTCTTTCTTGTAGGGCACTTTAAATTTGCCAGTAGTCAGTAGACTTCTCTGTTCTGCTAGTGTTATATTGTTTAATTTGTTGGTTGTACATTGCCCAAAGTCATTCATCAGTAAGATGTTTGATCATATAAGTTTGATAAATAAATAAACTTCCTCCTTCCTCTTCCAGAAACCTTTGTTATAGTACTGGATACTGGGAAGTTTATTTATTTATTTTATTGATTTGTCAAGCATGTAGAATAGAATAGAATAGAATAGAATAGAATAGAATAGAATAGAATAGAATAGAATAGAATAGAATAGAATAGAATAGGTGTAGCGTAGAATAGAATAGAATAGAATAGAATAGAATAGAAATTAGAATAGAAATTAGAATAGAATATAGAATAGAATAAGAATAGAAATAGAATAGAATAGAATAGAAATTAGAATAGAAATTAGAATAGAAATTAGAATAGAATAGAATATAGAATAGAATAAGAATAGAAATAGAATAGAATAGAATAGAATAGAATAGAATAGAATAGAATAGAATAGAATAGAATAGAATAGAATAGAATAGGTGTAGCGTAGAATAGAATAGAATAGAATAGAATAGAATAGAAATTAGAATAGAAATTAGAATAG